ACATATCGTTCAGTTAATTGAAGAAGATGCCCTGGATTGAGCCAAATGGAGATGTTTTGCCGATAAGCAGACCCTGCCGTGGCAAGGGAATAATGTTAGGAAGAAAAAGATTGTTCAGTTAATTATGGACTAGCAGTTTGTGCAAATACAACCCTTGCCTCACCTAGTGAAATATGCTGGACTAAACAAAATCCAAGAATATTATCTACTATTACAAATACTCTGTCCTGTGGTTCAGTAGTAGCATGATAAAAGCAGGTTTCTCTACATATTGAGCTGTTCCTTATATTAAAAGCTTGGCACAATGAGGCAGCTGCCACATGGAACTAATTAAAGCATCAAGTATCTACAGAGTGGGTTTTTCTTGTAATATGTTTCACATAATAAATCTGCCCTTATCCTGTCACAGATATAATGCCAGCAAATGGCGCCGTCCATACTGACAGTGTACAGGATGCATTAAGGTCACAGATGGGAGGGTTGCCTGGCTTTGTTGCCCTGAGCTCTTAGCAAATGTCAGATATCCATACTTATTTAAATGGCCACCTTAGATGTCACCTATGACCCTGACAAAACGGTGAGTGAAGCATATGAGATTACACTCGTGGTGCAAACCACCTACTTGTTGCCTCTTTAAAAGTGAAAGCATCACTTTAAAAATTTTAAACTCCTTTAGGCATGAGTTGTCCAAAGAAAAGAGGCTTCCAGAACATATTCATGCTATACAAGGTGCAAGTGGGGAAATGCCCATCTTTACCCCTTTTTTATTTATTTATTTTGCATTTCAAATGGCAGCTTTTCTTTAAGCCGGTTACAGATTTTACAAAGAAGAGCAACATTTCAGTCCAAGCGCTCTGCTCCGTACCTCCTGCAAGGTTGCAATCTCTCCAAAATAAGCCTTCAGAATGCTTACCAGAAGGCTTGCCAGCATTATGTAAAGCACTGCCACATGTCAGTGGGTGTTGGGAGAGTTCCCTGCCAAAGAATCCCCCCCCCCTTTCTAGTACGAATAAAACACGGAACAGACTACCGAGACTACCGGTATGTTGCAAGCCTGAGTCGCAGAGGGCTTCTCGCTCTCCGTCAGCCCCGAGACCCGGGGAAAACCTGCTTATTCCAAGAACGACGGGCAGGGAAAAAGGGACATTTTCGTACTGCGCTGCAAAGCAGGAAGGGCTGTTTCTGGTTAGCGTTTGCAGCCGCGTCCCACATCTGGAAAGACCGCTTCTCGACCTAAGCTTCCCGCTCTCCCCCTGTCTATTAACGGCAGCAGCAGCAGCAGCACAGAGGTCAGTCGCAGGGAAAGCTTTGTTCTGGGAATAAAGGCCCAAGGATCCTTGCGGAAGATCGCAACTCATCGCCACCCGTTTGATTCCAGTGCTTGTTTGATTCGCGGCGCGTGGAATCCGAGGCAAAATTAACCGCGCGGCCTCTTTTCTAGGGCGAAGCAGCACTTGGGGAGCTCCAAAGAGGAGCGGCCCGAAACCTGAGCTACTTTTTTAAAAAGGACAACAACAACCGCCAACTCGTGACAAGGGCTTTCTTAACTTTGCACACACACGCGCGCCCCTCCCCATGCCGAGGGTTCAAACGGCCGACGCGGCCGCTCGCTTTTTGCAAAACAACTCCAAGCTGCTCTGCTGTCACTCACTCGGCGCCTGCTCTGCCCTGTTCTATATTTGCATAGTCAAACGTAAACCAACCCCCACCCCTCTCTCTCCCCTCGTAAACTTTCTCCTGCTACTTGCTCTCCTTGGAGGGGAGCAGGAGGGAGCGGAAAGGAGTAAAAGGAGAAGTCCGGACTAAGCTACCTGCTGCAGGAGTCCAAGGGAACCGAAGAGCGGCCGGGCAACCTAAATCCAAGCGCGGAAGGACGAGCTCACCTCAGCAGTAGTCCAGACGGGTGGCAAAGACGCCGCCGCCGCCGCCGTCAACCGGCCAAACCAAGGCAGCGCCAACTTCGCCCCTTGCGGTAGGATTCTGGGAAGGCGTCACTTCCTAGAAGTGGTAGATTCCGAAACCAGCTTTTTTGCAAGTCGGTGCCACCTCCTCGCGGTGCCCCGGTTCCTCTGTCTCGACCGGTCGCGTGAGAAGGTGCGGGGCTTATTAAGATGGTGGGCGGTGATTATCGGGGAAAGGAAGGACGTTTTCGTATCGATAGTAGCTCTTGGGAGTCCTTAAGCCGAGTTCGGCATGCCTGGCTGAAGCGCCTTTTTCATCTTGAACGACGAGTCCAGCTTTGCGCCAGTCCTGCTATAACTTGACGCTGGCAAGCGCCCCAGTCGAGCCGAGTTCCGTGGCACGTGAGGCGGACAGTCCTGCAAGCACTGCCCTCCCTCCTTTCAATTTTGATCAAGATTATTAATTTAAAATGATTGCTGCCTTTCTGCAATTCAAATCCGGCTGAGTCATTTACTGCCTGCTGCCTAATGCCTTCTTCCTCAACTTGACAGCTCTCTAGGAGTGTTGGAAGTATAGCCAGAAATTTAGGGGAGATCTAGACCCAGCATGTGGAAAGTGCCAGGTTGGGGAAGTTTGGTCTAATGTTAGACCCCCCCACCTGATGTCACTTCTGTAAATGAGATTTCCCGTGCTTTAATTTGTTTTTGTGCTGTGTGTTCAGGTCAGGATCCTGTATCCTTGCAGGCAAAGAGACAGGATGTAGATCAGAAGTCTCCAAACTTGGAGACTTGAAGACTTGTGGACTTCAACTCCCAGAATTCCCCAGCCAGCTATGCTGGCTGAGGAATTCTGGGAGTTGAAGTCCACAAGTCTTCAAGACGCCAAGTTTGGGGACCCCTGATGTAGATGAAGTGCATATATTAGCCTAATGTGCTGTGCAAATCAGTCATATAAGGTTATGGCTTGTCTGTTGTGTGAACCAAGAACATTTGGATGAGTTGATCGTGTGTTGTGTGAATATAGCCAAGTAATTCTGCCTACTATTCCGTATCTTTCCTATCAGTTTTCAAAATGAGGGAGCCAGAATGACTATCAACAACCTGAACATGTACTTTTATCCTTTCTCTGGGTGTATTCATACAACAACTCTTCTGGGTTGTGCGCCAGTTACACCCGTTCCTGGACCAATAATCCCTCCTCACAATCACTAATGCCTTAGTCACTTCCCATCTTGACTACTGTAATGTGCTCCACATGGAGCTGCCCTTGAAGAGCATCTGGAGGCTCCAGTTGGTGCAAAATGCAGCAGCCCGCACGGTTTTGTGAAGAGCCTGGTGTGCACATGTATCACCTCTCCTGTGGGAGCTGCACTGGCTGCCAATTTGCTTCCAGGTGCAATTCAAGGTGCTGGTTGTCACCTTTAAAGCCCTTCATGGCTTGGGATCAGGCTATCTGAGGGACCATCCCTTGCCAGTCACATCTACCCGACCCATCAGAATGGGGAGGCAAGGAATGTTGCGGGTCCCATCCTTGAGGAAGATACACCTGGTGGGACCCAGAAGAAGGGTCTTCTCCATGGTGGCTCCCTCCCTCTAGAACATCATTCCCCCATAGATTAGATTGGCCCTCACAGATTCTCTTCCGGAAAGCATTGAAGACCTGATTCTGCTAACGGGCCTGGGGAACCCACAGGGGGATGGAGCCCATTAAATGGCTCATCTAATCTGCTGTCACTGGGGGGGGGGATTTTACTATATTAATTTATTTGATTTTACAAGTTTTACTGTTTTATATTGTGATTTTATATGTTGTAAGCCGCCTTGAACCACCATGGCGAATAGGCAGCAATACAAATCTAATAAATAAATAAATAAATAAATAAAACCCTTACTTAACCGAAACATTGTTTCTAGAATTAACAATGGGTTCACACATTACATCATATAGTTTGTGTAACTGGTTTGTTTAATAACAATTGATTAGGTTCATGAAATCCTCACGTCCAACCAATCACTTTGTCATTGCTAATACGACACACATAGTTGTGGTAAACATGTATGTCCTGGGCAATTTCTCTAGTACCTTGGCAGTTGAGTTTTCCCCTCCCTGAGCAGATCTAGATTCTAGAACATTGTCTCAGCTGCTAATGCTTCTTGCAGATCTCCTGCTTGGGCATCTATTTGCCTGCTGCCTTGTGTGAACCAAGCTCCCTTTCCAAAGTAGTGGATGTGAATAGCAGAGGAGGATATGACTTCTTATCCATAGGAAGGGTCAGGAATAGGGCAATTGCTGTCTATAGCACTGAGCCCAAAGGATTAGGATACAATAATAGCATGTTGTGAGCTTAAGCCATCACTTTGTGCAGCATGCTATCATTTTGTGTGTAAGAGAATGCTGGAACATGTCATAATTGAGCTGTGTCCATTAGCTGTTTCCCAATAGAGCTTATACGTTGGCATAGTTCGCTTCTTCGTCTCTGTTCAGTGCCATTTTCTGGACTGGGTTAGTCTCAGTGGATATAACAGGTGACAGCTGTTCCATCTACATAGCAAGAGCAAAACTTTTTCCCAGCCCCCACAGATGTCATTGGAGTATAGAGTTCCTTTCTAATCGAAAATAGGAATATTATATACTCTTCTGCGGCTGTAGAAATGACTAGATGCTTTTACTATGATAAAATGCATTGTTCTGGTATATTTTACACATGAAAAAAGTCAATAAAAAAGGAAGATAGAATAAGAAATAGCTGGACAGCACGCTAGCTTGGAAGAACAGAAGCTTATAAAAATATATATTGTAAAACTTTTTTTCCCAACATGGTAATCTGGCACTAAATCAGTGTTTCTCAACTGTGGCAACTTTAAGATATGTAGACTGGCTTGGAAATCCTGGGAGTTGAAGTCCACACATCTTAAAGTTGCCCGGGTTGAGAAACACTGCTCTATATTACTTGGTCTTAGTGTCAGACAATGAAGATAAATGATCACGAATATCAAATTAGCTTGCCTGCGGCCAAAACTGAATAGCAAAAGACTACAAGTGGAATTATTGCCTTTGTGTTCAGTACAGTAATCATGTACTCTGAACAGAATGCATGAGTCTACAGTGCGATTCTATCCATGTTGAATTAAAAACTATCCTCACCAGATTTTATTCTTAAATTAATACAAAGGATCATTGCCTTAAAGAACCAGATATTGTATTTGTATCTTTTTCATGGTTGGTCTTCTGAAAGCTTAAGCTGTTTTAGAGGAGAATGAATTGTGCCTAATATATTGTGTCAATGTTTGTCTTATTTGATATTAGGCTTTTAATGACATTTCATGTTTTCAAGATACAAATTCCTGGGAACTGTTTTTGGCAAGGATAAATAAATCAGTAGTATTGAGCTGTGATCACTTCCATTCCATTGATGGTGAAACAGTCAAACTAATACAATTTCAGCAGGCAAGGTTTAAAATGCATGCATGCATTTTAAAAATGTTGACCCTAGTCATACTTCTTTTGAGGTAAGCCTTCTATAATGGGAATCCTGCTGTCCCAACCAATCTTCAGCATAATGCCTCTTTGCCTGTATCATGAACAGCATGTGAAAGAGCAGCTCTGCGGAGCTCTTAAGTCACAAGCAATACAGATATCCAAGTAGGCTTCACTGGGCAAGACAGGAGGAAAAAATAAACAATTTACATGTTTTGATCAGAAGTTTGAAAGCATAACAAATGCTAATAAAATCTAGCTTTATCAATCTCTGAAAATCCCACTTCCTTAAAAATAGCATCAACATCTACATGAAGAACTTTGTGAAAATAATCACTACTTGGCCACAAGGAAAGCACCACACGCATAGATTAATACGCAGACACATATACCCACTGAAATGTTGATATTTTATTTAAGTATAAGAACAGACAAGAGAAGGTTTAGTTACTTACTATCAATCATGCTAGAGACATGGACTCTTGCAGAGCTCTTTAGCTGTTGGCTTTTCATTCCTTACATTTGTTCTTCTCACAACCCATATTGCGTTTTTCCCCCCCTTTCATTGCTGCAGCTGTTGTTGCTATGCTGTCTATACTGTTGCTATGATTTGCAAGACTTCTGCATTTCCTAAATCATAGTTGTCTCTGAGGAACAGTAATACCATTCATCCCCCTTGCAGTCTCCTGTCTCCAGTTTCTTAATAAATGAGACCAGTTTAATAATAAGGAATAGTTTCTAGGAATTAATATTGGCTGTAGGAGTTTACCATTTTTAGCAGGGGCAGGAATCAGGATGAGTTTTTCCGGCCAATACATTGTATTAAAAAAATGTAAGCTATACTCACAACATTGTATACCTTAATGTGTTGGGAATGGTATTGCCAGACTCCTTCTGATTTAAGGCTACAATAGACTAGCACAGCTGTTCTCCTACAATGTCTATAATAGGGGGAAATTATCCTAAATTAAAGCAACTCATTCCTAAAGAAGAAAAAATTAATTGATTGACTAGGTACCACCAAGTCAGTGTGGATTCTTTCCCAATATGTAGATAGATTTTCTCCAGGAGCATCATTCCCCAACCTGGCCGTTCAAGATTTCCAGAAGTGCTGTAATTGAGTCAATCTGCCTTGAGGTTGGTTATCCTGTTCTCTTTTCCGGCGTTATGAAATTCTCTAAAGAATTATGCCCTCACATGATACACCCAGAGTATGATAATTAAAGAAGAATCTACAAGGTTTTGTGATAATTTGGAATGAAAATTAAAATACCTGTAAGCTAAGACCCGTTGGACTTAATTAATATTTTATGGGAAACCACAAGGAACTCAGGGCTGTAGATCAGACTGCTGAAAATAGTTCTAAAGATCCCTGAAGAAGGCAATGACAAGTGACACTGTTGTCAAGAAAGCTGCTCAAATTATGTCTATACAGACTTAATATAGCTGTATATGGACAAAAGTTAAGTCAGCAGCACTCTTTATCTATAATGTGCTATATTGTTGCTTGTCAGCCCTTCAAAGGAGACCAACCTAGGAAACTAAAGTTATGAATGCTAATGCCAGTTTTATGTAAGGTTACAAGAAGAGAAT